TCAGACGTAACTGGTGCTGAGGCTTTATTAGGGTATATTTTTGAAGCATGCCCCAAAGATGGACACTCTTAACTCAAAAAATGTAAGACATTTCACTCCTGTAACCAGAATGTTAGGTAATAATGCCCTGGAAACCCTGCAGCATGGGGTGGTGTAACACCTTTATGAATATATCGGGCATACTTCCCCATATGATCTTGATTGCATAATTCACAGGTCGGTTCTGCCGCTCTTGTGATTGGTACGACACTTTTATTCTGCTTTGCTGATGTGGACGTGAATGGTACGACACTTATGTTCTGTGCTGATGATGGTACACCCGAATGGTACGACACGTATGTTCTGCTTTGCTGATGTGAACGTGAATGGTGCGACACTTATGTTCTGCTTTGCTGATGTGGACGTGAATGGCACGACGCTTACGTTCTGCTTTGCTGATGTGGACGTGAATGGCACGACGTTTACGTCTGCTTTGCTGATGTGGACGATTTGATGTACTACCACTTATGTTCCGCCTTGCTGATGTGGACGTGATTACACACACACGACACACGACACACACACACAACACTTATGTCTCGCTGCTGGCGAACGAACCGCGGCGCGAGCTTTCCGTCGCTCCGTTCACCGCGTACAGCGCTCCCAGCTCGCCACTCTGCATAATTTCACCCTGCTCGCGTTCGCGATGTGTCCACATCTCGACGAAGAAAGCACGGATTTACCAGAGTGTCACTGCGCAGAATGCACGGTGGGAGCGAGCGAATGCTGATACTGAACAGCAGAAAGCTAGAGACCGTAGAGCGGAGTGAAGCGGAAAGCGGCCGCTTGTGGTGGAAAAGCGCGACAATGGTCTGATCACACTTGGAATCTTACTTGCTCTTTGCTTTCTTCATAATCAGTGTATCCGTCGCTGTGGGAATCAGCGGACATCCGTACGTACCTCTGCATCAGCTGACGCGGTGTCCGTGCAGCTTCTACTCCGCCATGCCAGAGGCGAGCCCGTCTCCGACCCTGGGGCCGGCCGATCCTCCGGTCCCGCCGTATGTTGACCTGTGTCATGTGCCGAGAGGGGGAGGGGGGGCTGGTGACCCTGGTGGACGCGCGGCACCGTTGAGCCCACCGCTGACCGCGCCGGCTGACCCGTCGCCGCAACGGCTGTCGTGTCGTCACCTGCCCGTCGGGCCCCGAACTCGCCGCCCTTCTGTACCGGCCGCCGCCCGCCCTGACGGCGGCCGACGTCTGGTGCGCAGGAGACGGGCGCGCCGGCCCCGCTGGTGCTGCACCACCTGGAGAGTCAGCTGGCGCTGGTGACGTCGCGCGCCGCCGAGCTGGCCCAGTTCCTGATCACCAGCAGTCTGACCACGCTGCGGGAGGTGACGGAGGTGAGACGCGTGTCCCCGGCCGGCTTCGTACCGTGCCCGGCTTTGCGGTCATGCCTCTCACACGCACGCCTGCCGCGTTTGTGTGACTGGCTGTTGGCAGATCATGTATCGCGGCGTTGTGTAATGTGCGAAGCGATTTATTCTGGCCTACGGAGACTGGGTTGTATGTCGGCTGCGTCAGGGGTCCGGCTTCCCGCCTGGTGTCGGCTGTGTCAGGGGTCCAGCCTGGTCTGCCGGCTGTTTCATAAGTCCGGCCCCGCCTGGTCTGCCAGCTGTTTCATGGGTCCGGCTCCCTGCCCGGTGTCGGCTGTGTCAGGGGTCTGGCTCCCCGCCTGGTGTCGGCTGTATCAATCGTCTGGCTCCCCGCCTGGTGTCGGCTGTGTCAGGGGTCTGGCTCCCCGCCTGGTGTCGGCTGTATCAATCGTCTGGCTCCCCGCCTGGTGTCGGCTGTGTCAGGGGTCTGGCTCCCCGCCTGGTGTCGGCTGTATCAATCGTCTGGCTCCCCGCCTAGTGTCGGCTGTGTCAGGGTCCGGCTCCCGTCCCATCTCTCGCCTCACCACTGCCCCTCCGCGCCGCAGGTGCTGGACGTGGACTCAAACGACGTGCCGCTGCTGCTGTCGGCCGCCTCCGTGCTGTGCCCCGAGGTCACCAGCAAGTACGGCCTCTCCATCCGGTGACGGTGTGCCTCGGCTGCCCGTCTAACGCGATGGGGCAGTGACGGCCAGGCGCGTCTGCCACAGTGGCCTATCTGCCGTCCAGTCGCGTTGTCCTCGGCGTCTGTGCGCCGGTGGACTGCCATACCCGCGCATCTGCTGCTGCCTCTGCGGCCCGCCGGCGCTGCGCCGGTTGACTGTCAGAGTCGTGTATCTGCAACCGCTGGCGGGTGACACTCACCGGCTGACCGCCGTAGTCTTCCATCTGCCGCTGCTGCCCGGTGTCGCTTCCAGCCAACACAGCCCGGTGCGCCAGCCGCCTGGTGTTGTCGGGCGTGTGTGTACAGGCGCCGGTGCACGGCGAGAGCTGTGCCTGCCCGCTGGCCGCAGCGGTGTCTCCCCGCTGGCGGGAGCGATGCCTCCCCGCCAGCCAGAGCGGTGCCTCCCCGCCAGCCGGAGCAGCGCCTCCCCACCGGCCGCAGCGGTGCCTCCCCGTTGCTGGGAGCGGTGCCTCCCCGCCAGCCGGAGCAGCGCCTCCCCACCGGCTGGGGCGGTGCCTCTCCGCTGGCCGGAACGGTGCCTCCCCGCCGGCCGGAACGGTGCCTCCCCGCCTCCCGGAGCGATGCCTCCCCGCCGGCCGGAACGGTGCCTCCCCGCCGGCCGGAACGGTGCCTCCCCGCCGGCCGGAGCGGTGCCTCCTCACCGGTCGGGGTGGTGTGTCCCCACCGGCCGGAGCGGTACCTCCCCGCCAGCCGGAGCAGAGCCTCCCCACCGGCTGGGGCGGTGCCTCCTCGCTGGCCGGAGCGGTGCCTCCCCGTCGGCGGGAGCGGTGCCTCCCCGTCTCCCGGAGCGATGCCTCCCCGCCGGCCGGAGCGGTGCCTACCGCCCCAAACCACTCTGGAGAGGCGCCTGAACCACCGCCTCCGGGGTCCGTGTTCGGCGCCGCCCCGTCTGGCGCCGGCACGCCGGTAGCCGAGCTCCGCGGAGCTCCGCGGAGCTCCGAACACCGCAGCGTCAGCGGTGCTCCTCAGCCGAGCACACCAGCGGCGGCCGGGAGTCGGCGCCCGGTCCCATCCGCAGCCCACTCTCGGCGCGGCGTCACTGGCGTCGCACCGGCTCACTAGTCTATCTGATGCGGCGAGCGGCAAGCGCCGGCTGACGTCAGACCGGCAGGATAGTGTGTCTTGCACGGCCGGCCATCGTGGCTCGTCAGCGGACGGGTGTATCTGGCGCACACCCGACTGCCTGAGGCGATAACGCCGCCGCTACCGTGCTGCGTGTGGCGTGGCCGTATCCAGCATAATCCGCGCCCCATGTCGCTAGCCTGCTGCCAAATGCCCGAATTGGTGGCGATGTATCGGTGGCGAATGGATAAGCCACATCGGCCGCTGCTGTCCCTCTCCCGAGCCGCTGTCGGGCTCGGACCGGCAAGCAGAGACGGCTCCAGACGCGCCCCAGCTCACCGCTCGGCCGTCGCAGGACGGTGCTGTAGCCCGCTGTCTGCGTTGGGGCTGTCTGGTGGAGTGCGTTGGCGACTAAAGTCCTTTCGCCGGTGGTTACGTGATAACCGGTCTGAGGGAGTGGGAGGGAGAGGGGCGGCAGGGTAAGTCACCAGCGTCAGTTATACGTTTGTGAGTTTGTGTATTTATATTGGGTTCTTCCAGGTGATGCATTGAAATACATATGTGATCATGACATGCTTGTTTATTCTATGATGAGCGGATCATAGCTCATCTGGAGGACGTGGTCATGAGCAAGTCTTTCGTTTCGCAAATGTTTTGTCATTCAGCGATAACTCGGCAACCGTAACCCCTCACGCCGCTTGAGGTGTTGAGTGGAACTCTGATTTGAGCGAATTACGTGAAACCGCGCGCTCTCTTTGTATGAACTGGTCTTAGATTGTGTGCCATTTCGCGTCTCGAGGACCCATTGAAAGTCGAAGCACCTCAAGTTCGGCACTGCCTTTTGGGAGCTGCCGAGTTTACTCAAGAGATGGATCGCTTTAGTGTGTGTGGTGCGTCTAATGAGCAGAGTTCGTCCGACGGGCGTGGTTTTGCCGCGCTCTCCGTCTCGTCTGCCTCTGCCTTCCTGCCTGTTTGCCCGCGCTCTCTGCTCGTCTGTCTCTGAATCGGCTTCTCTGCCTGTTTGCTGCGCTCTCTGCTCGTCTGCCTCTGCCTCTGCCTCTCTGCCTGTTTGCCGCTCTGCCCGTCTGTCTCTGCCTCTGCTTCTCTGCCTTTTTGCCGCGCTCTCTGCTCGTCTGTCTCTGCCTCTGCCTCTTTGCCTGTTGCCGCGCTTTCTGTCTCGTCTGCCTCTGCCTCTCTGCCTGTTTGCCGCGCTCTGTCTCGTCTGTCTCTGCCTCTGCCTCTCGCCTTTTTGCCGCGCTCTCTGTCTCGTCTGCCTCTGCCTCTGCCTCTCGCCTGTTTGCCGCGCTCTCTGCCTCGTCTGCCTCTGTCTCTCTGTCTCGTCTGCCTCTGTCTCTGCCTCGTCTGCCTCCGCCTCTCTGCCTTGTCTGCATCTGCCTCTCTGCCTCGTCTGCCTCTGCCTCTGTCTGCCTCAGAGGCTGCCTCTGTCTCTTTTTGCCTGTTTGCCGCGTTCTCATCCTCCTACCGAACTTCGGCTGCGGCCGCACGTGATGAAGTGAGAGAGGGTGGGGAGGGGTAGGCGATGCTGGACCACACGTCTGCTTGGCCTGGCGCGGCCGATCAGCCCGGTCCACCAGTAGCGGCCAGGGCTGAGTGGAACGGCCGGCGTGTCGGATAGCAGCTGCAGCGTGATGCGGTGATACGGCGGCGCGGTTAGATTACGCGTGTGTATTGCAAACCAGGCGTGCATATGCACTCCGGGTTAAGATCAAGCTACAGACTGTCAGTGGTAAGTGTTTGAAAGGTTGGAGTGTTGGCCTGCCGCTGAGGAGGCTTGGGTTTGATTGCCGACGCTGCAAAGCCGTTGGCTTCGGATTCCAGGTGTACACATCGGCGTTCACGACCTTAAGAGCGCTTTCACGGATAAAAGGCATTCATTATCAGCATAGACCCTGCCCTGGTTCAATTACACTTGCGCAGCCTGACGGTAAACAGGCGTGAATGTGCCCCGCAAAATTTGCGGAGTTAAATTGTGGCGTCCATACGTCACGTATGTCGGCATAAAAGCAATGGCCACTTGTGGATGATTTCCCAACAGACATATTGTCTCCTGTTCTGGTCTCACGCGAAAGCTTCAGTAAAGAGCTGTGATGGGCAAGCAAACACATCCATTTATTTATTTATATCATATAAGCAGTCCACAAGTTCAGTGGATGCCCGATTGCGGACGCAGTCAATGGGTTCAAAACAATAAAGACGCACGCAAACATATAAATACACACGCTATCACGCATACACAGTTACTGGAGTGCTCTGGCAAGCAAGTGCCAGCACTTCATTATCAATATTTTTTTTCATGTAAGCCATACCTCATCTTCACTTAGAAACTGATAAAAAGCACTAAGTGGACGAGCGTTTTGGAAGGCCACTGTGTTCTTTAAGAACGCCTGAACCACAGCCGGCTTTGCCGGTCAGTGAGGTCTTTCACAGCGTGGAGGTGGGTGGACCAAGCGAACATGGGTGTGGTGAGTCATCTGGTCACCCAGACTATACGACTGGTGTATGTGCGGCGACACCATATGATATAGCGGCGGGCCAGGGTGCCATCCGTCCGGCCTGAGCGTCGCTGGCGAGCCGGCTGGCGCTCC